GGCTGGCATTAAGTCTGTTGCGCGATTCTGCCGCCTGCTGGTTTAGAGCGTCTATGCACAAACTGAGCGAAATGAAGCTGTATCGGGTCCTGTAGTATCGTAGCACTTTTACAAGTACGAGTACGAGTTAAAGCACATGGTATCGGACCGATACCCGATACTGGTATCAGTATCGGTGCATCCCTAGTTTAAAGCTGTGCTGTTTTTCGATGTGAGGACAAAGGAGAATTCCAGCTGTGAAATCAGAGCCTTGGCCTTTCTCCTGCGCTCCTCGCCGCCTCGAGGCCGAAGACTTCCTCGCAGCGCTGCGACAGATTCATATCCCGGTCAAAGAGCCGTGTGTGTTTGCTCGGCCGTTTGAGAAAGAGAGCAGCACGCTCTGAGGTCAGATAACTTGACACAGTGAAGTCCTGGGAGAACCTACTTTTTCTGATGGGAGAACAGTCCCAGGGGAGAAACAAAACAAACTTCACTTCAAGAAGTCGTTTGAGGTCGCCAAAGTTTCGTTCTGGATCACGGAAAAAAAAGGGAACTCCAAAATATTCCAAAACTCAAAAAATACAATTAGTTTCTCCAATAAAAAAAAGCTCACCTCATAGTTTCAGCTCACCTCTTTAAGATGCTCTCCTCCTTGTTGGACTTTGAGCCTCCTCGGTCACTTCCTCTGTGTGACGTGGTCTGAAGCACCGGTGTCAAACCATGGTCCTGGATGGACACGGTCCTGCACACTTTAGAGGTTCCTCTGCTCCATCACAGCTGATTGAATCAGGTGTGATGGAGCAGAGGAACAAGTACAACATTCAAGGTGAAAGCCTTCAAAAACCAGGATGAGACTCTCCTGGTCCAAAGACTCAAAAATAAAGATCCTGATGAATAAAACCTCATAAACTCCTGAGGATGTGTTCACACCAGGAACACTTTGCTCTGCAAAAACTGTCCATCTTACCAAGTTTTAAAATCTTATATCAGCCAAAAAATCTTTTTGATCTTGTTTTGAGACTGATTTACTAAACAAGAACTGATTGTGTAAGAATAATCATCTTGTTTTCAGAATGTGTAAGATTATTTATCTCGTTAAGGGCTCGACACACGGGGAGCGACAAACTACAGCGATTAACGGCTGTCATCGCAGCCAGGGTGAAACCCGACACACGGGACGCGATAGCGATCGCAGAGTTGCGAATCACGCTCTCAGATAGTTTGTCTTCACAAAATTTGATTGGTTCTTGACTCTGAAGGCGGGTGTGCATTACGGACGTGTA